GTTTTCTTATTTTAAATGTAAATTGTCTTGTTCCATTGGCAAGATGTCTCTTTTACCTCCTCAATCCAAGAACAAATGCACTTATTTTAAGAAAAAATGACTCGTCTAGGTTTCCATTTTTTCGAGTGCAGTGCAAAAACAATCTAGAAATAATTTAAAATCTCTTAAATCAAGTGTATTTACCCGTAATTTAAGTAGGTAAATAAGATTATTTGCCAATGGAAAGAGTATTTTTACTCTAAAATAAGAGATAAAATGTACTTAAAAAAGACAATGTAATTTTTTTTTTCTTCTAAATGTAACTTGTCTTGTTCCACTGGCAAAGTGTCTCACTTGCCTCCTCAATTCAAGAACAAATGCACTATTTTTAAGCAAATTTAAGCCACTTATTTAGATTTCTATTTCTTGTAGCATAGAGAACAAGAGCTTTATATCTGAATGTTAAAATTTGATGAAACAGAGAAATCAAATGCAACCGTTTCCAATAAGTAAAAATGAAAAGAGTTCTTTAGAAAGAAAGGTTTCCATAAACCAATGTTTTTTGTTTACATTTAGACTTTAAAAAGCCGTTAGCGTCTAAATTCAGTTCAGATGATCCTGCAGCATTAATTCAGTCCACTAGAGGGACTTTAAACAAGGACAGATTTAAAGTCGGTTAAATGCCGCCCTACAGGAAAGATATTAACTGCTTCTTCAACAGAACCTCACTTCAAGTTATGGTCGACTCTCCACAGCTCCTGTTGCAGCTCACCGTCCAAAAGCCAAACCTGTAAGAATATTATTGATTATGTTCAGACCGCAAGCAGCAGAGGCAGCAGAAGCATCTAGTTTTCGTGCAAAGTCTATGGTTGACGTGCATCAAGGTGAAGCAAAGGTCCTGCAGCGTGTTTTGAGCAGCTGAAGCACGAGCTCGAGCTTCTGAGGCGCTTCACAAGCAGCAGCTGCAGGAGTTTGAAAAATTGAACTTTAGCTGCTGGACGCGCCGCATCGACCAATGAGAGAAGCTGATCTGGGAGCTGGCAGGGAGTCAGACGCAGCACTGCTGATGCAGAGCGCTATGATCACTCTTCTGAAACAGTTTATTAACGCCTAAATTAACTTCAAATGGCAGAATATGTTAGATTTTATAATCCTGGTGCCTGCAGTTTGGATTAAGTACGTGAAAAATGGCTTCCAGCCGCGAGAACAGTAGCGGAAAACCCCCAAGAGGCAAGCGGGCCTGAGGCAGCTGCTGCTGGGGATTCCCAGTGACAGCGCACCGCCGGTATGTGGGGGTCTGAGCTAACCTGACTCCACCAGTTGGATTTGC